CTCTCCTGATCGTTAAGCAATCATTCCATGGGTGATTTGGGCCTGTTCTGGGTCTCTTGGGAGTAGGTCTCCCCTACCTTGCTGTGAAGCCTTTAGGCCTGATAGAGGCTCTATCAGCCAAGACAGCTATAGGGGGGAACTAGAAAAAGGCACCGAGGCCCTCCGGGCTCCAGCTGGTCTGCCCTCGGTTGACTCTGCGGCTTGCTCCCATCCTGCCTTTCCCTCCCACGATTCCTTCTGCGTTAGCTCAGTGTAGCGTTACCCTGAGGACCACGTCCAAGTTGGCAAGAGTCACGCATTAGGCCGTTGGCCTTTTCACAAAGTTTATGATTTAAATCTTGTGCTCTTAACACCTTCTTTGCAAGCCTCGGAGGGAAACAAAAATGTCGACGCTGTTTACTCATTTCCTTTTTAATGTGGAGACCCTCACTTGGCTGACTCCACTGCATATGTGTCGGCACAGCTGCACACATACGCCGTGTGCACACATGTGCGAAGAAGGCAGGGCCGCACACGTTCGCTGTGCGCACATACTCATGCTCAGGAGAATGCTGATTACGTTTCAATCCCTGGCAAGTTCCCAGGACATCCGATGAGCCCAAGAGAACTGCTACCTGCACCGGATGCCAGGATGTTGCTCCCTTCCCCCAAGGCAGGGTCAGCTTCTTAGAAACCCCTGTGGGAATTCCTGGGGGTGGCTGGGAGGACCAGGGTATTGGGGCAGGGGAGGAGAGGAGGCCCCAGATGGTGGGAGCCTCACCCAGGACCCTGAGCAGCAGGGTCAGAGCCCAGCTGTCTCCCTCCAAGCTGCTTCTCAGGACAGACAGGCTCCACCTGTGGCTTATCACGACCACAGCCTTAATGGCAGCCCCACAGCCTGGAGGTGGGAGTGTGTATGTGGGGGGTTGTGGGGGCAGGATTTCCCACCTGACATCAGGAAGCTGGAGCTAAAGCTGGGCCAACTGTGGGGAAGAACATGTTGGGATAAGAAGCTAGTGGGAAGCAAGTCCTTTTTAATTGAGTGGTGAGCTCGGGTCTGTGCATAGGCTGGCAGAGGACCCAAGAGAAAGGATGGTCCTTGCTTACAGGGGTTTGTGGCCAATGAGGAGACAGGAGAAGAAAAGCAAGCTACAGGTCCCTGAAGGAGAGGGTGGAGATCAAGGTCCCGCTCACTCTGAGGTTGACCTCACTCTGACCTCACTCTGGTGTCCTCTGAACATTTCAGTCTGGGAGCTTAGAAACATCCCAAGAAGGATGTCGGCATGCTGAGGCCTGAATCCATGACGGGATGGCCTAGCCAAAGAATCCCATATTGGGTTCCAGGCTCCCTGTGTCTCATTTGTCACAGTGACTAAGAGCCAGGGCAGGCAGAGTTCCTATTCAGGAGCCCATCCTCACGAAGGGAGGGGGCAAAGGGGAGCAATGGGGCCCAGATGCTGAGGAAGGACAAGATGGTTGTTGGCATCTGACTCCCTTCGGGGAGGAACTGGGGCCTACACCCAGGGAACTGCAGGAAGGTTAGGCCACAGTCCCCAGGAGGGAGGATGGTGGTGACCCCTGCCCCTCTCGGGGAAACTTTGTGTTTTAGGTCTTAGCCTTCTCATCTCAGCTTTAGCTGATTTCTCTGTTAGGGGGATTTCAGACGGAAGAGATAGGTCTCGAAGCAGATCTGCTCAGACAGCAGCACCCTTTCTGAAGGGCAAAGCGTGTTGTCTGCTTGTCCATGGGTTTCCAAAGCGAGCTTAGGCTCTGAAGTGAGTTTAGTACAACAAATGGTTGTCAGGCATCAAGCCCTCCTCCTCATTGCCGTGTGCTCAATGCTTTCTCGTTCATTCCCCGCCACGTTGTGGTAATGGACCACACAGGTCGCACACACTGGGCAAGTGCTCTCCTCTGAGTCATAGCCTAGACTGTGTATCCTCTTGTTTGCATGTTATAAACATGCGCAGTGTGTGTGTGGGGTGCACTACGTCTATTGTAAAAAGTACATGCCGGATGTCAAAGGTGATGTCTCTGAGGCCACACGCTTAGGCAGCGGCAAAGCTCAGCTGGGAATCTGTTCTACACCTTAGCTCCTTGTGCACCTGCCGGCATGGTCAAGGTTTCCGCTGGTTCTTCGTCAGCTTAGTAGGACCAGTATTCTGTCTCCATCTGTCTGCCTCGCTTTGGGACAGCTCCACCTAGCAGGCATGGCCTTATGGGAAAGTCAGCATGCAGTTGTAGAAACAGCGGGGGAGAACAATATAACACAGGGGCCTGGCCCGTGGCAGTGGGTGTCCCACGCAAGTGTGGATGTTCTGTGCCACCTGTGTCTTAGTCCACTTTCTGACGCTGTATCATGCTATCTGAGAGTGCAAGTCATAAGGGATGAGATTGATTTGGCTGGGAGTCTGAGCACATAGGGCTGACATCATCTTGTACCCGGTAGAGTACATGCTAACACAACAGAAGACACCATATTGGTGATGGGGTAGTGTGCCAGCTGGGGTGCCTCTCTTATGACCTCATTGAACACTAATTGCCTTCCAAAAGCCTTACCTCTAATACCATCAACATAAATTTGGAAGTTTCAAAGACATGAACTTTTGGGACAAACAAACACACCACGGCACCCCATAAGCCATTGTGTGCTGTGTGGAAATTGTCTACTCCTAAGAAGATGCAGAAAAGGGTGATGTATGTGTCGGGAACATTGGTGTGGTGTTACCAGCCTACATCCTTCCTTCCTGGGAAAGTTTAGCCTGAAGATAGCTAGGACGGTGATTAATTGCCTGATTCTCAGGAACCCAATGATGCCCAAAGCCTAACAACACAAGACTGTGTGACTCATATCCAACCTGATAGGGAGCAGGTCAGATACATCATTTCTATGTCCACTGAACCCCTAGCCAACATAGCCCTGATGCCTCCACCCTTCTGAGGCTGGCAGGAGTCTGCCTGATGCCACCACGCCATGGCCCTACGACAGGACCATGGGCTCTGTGAGGAGCCAGAAAAGCCTGGAAACCCATTGACAAAGGAGTGACCCAGGCATCCCACTAGCTGACCATGTAGCTCTGGGCTACTTAGCTTGCATTCTGGCTTCTCTAGCAGAAAAGGTAGAGGTGAATCCACAGCAGGCAGCGGATCCCGTGTTGACGGACACTGCTCAGTGTGGGACCTCTGTTCTGCTTTAGCAGCTTCTCCCTTCCAGACCCTGCAGGGGGGAGGTGTTCCTGTCTTAGGAGTTTGTGTGCACAACTGGGGACAGCTGAGGTGTTGCTCTCCCCAGCTGGCACTCATTCAGGACAGCAGAGGTCTTTCCCCATACAGGGCACATCCCATCATCTGAGCCACATTGTAGCTATCATGTCTGGGTCTTCAGCCAAGCCGTGCTGGCTGGACTAAGGTTCTTGTCCTGTCTGTGCCTCATCTATGAAACGGGTAGTGGGTTCTCACTAGGGACTACTGTGGGGATGGGGTACAGCAGGCCATCACCAGAATCTAGCAGCCAGTCAGCCAACAGGCTGATAGTACTGGTCTGTGTACCCAGGTGACTCCAGTGGTTGGTCATGGAAGCCATTTTTGAATGGGATGCATGATCCTGGGGAAGAGGCTCATGTGTGGTGACTGGGAAAGCACAGTAGAGACATGGCCTCTGAGGCTATCAGGGAGATCTCTCACAGCCCTCAGAAGAGGGAGCGCAGTTTACTAGTGGACCTTGAGAGCCTGACACCCAGCTCCACACACCCACTGGCAGGCCAATCTCTTTGCAGCTACATCCTGCTCCTCACCCCCTCCAACACATAGCTGAGTCTTTTTAAAGCAGCTCACAGGTATGCAGAAGAGTAACCTTGTGCTATCAAGGAGCTTTCATGAAGGAAAACATAATTATGCTTTATCCTCATGTCTGTTTTCATTATTCCCATTTTAAAAAATGTTGGTGTGTACCCGCGTGGGTTTCTGTGCACCATATGCAAGCTTGGGACCCTCTGCAGCCAAGTTCTGGTTGACAATGGAGTGAATAAGTCAGTTTACAAAAATGAATGGGGAACTCTGGAAACTGCTGACTAGTTTACTCTGCTTGTGTTTGTGGTTGTGTGCTGTGCAGCACAGGGGCCATTCTGCTAAGTCACACCTGTTCCCACTTCTTATGATGCGACCAGGCACAGCGCCTTTCCCCAGTCTGGAGAATAGGGCCAGGTACTCCTTTGCCTGTCTGTCTGTCTGTCTGTCTAAACAGCTGCTCTGCCAGGAAAAGGACCTGAAAGTTCTTGATTCCCTCAGCAAAGTGCCATAATTCCACAGACAGGAGAGGGAGCAGACAGGCTGTGGCCTGTCTGGTGGCCCAGGCTGGTCTCCAGCTCATCCTCCCCCGACAGACTCCTGAGTACTGAGGATATGGGCATGAGCCAATGTGCCAAGCACAGCATGGGTTTCTTCTTCCTTCCTAAGACAGGCACCAATATGACGTTAACCAGAATGTGAGCTCTCTAAAATGCCCCAGAACACTTCTTATGGGCACAAGGTCTCAAGCTGGGCCAGAGGGGACAATGATGTCCACAATTATGCATGGGTCTCCTGGCTCTTTTACTCATGGTGTTGGTGATGCGGTGACAGATGCAGCCCGCATCTAAGGTGGCTGTCAGAGCACCCCTGAAATCCCAGTGCTGGCCACACCTGTTCCTCTGCCATCGTGGTGTAAACTATTCTAGTCCTCCTGGGCAATGGACACTTTCATAATGTAGTCAGAGCTAATTGCACGGCCTGATTGGAAATAGGGTGGAAAGGAAGAGGGTTGGAAGTGGACGTTGGGCGATAACCAGAGTGAAGTGCGAACCTAAGGGTGCGTTAGCAGGCCAGTCTGCCGGGGGGGCTCCTCGAACCTGGAGCACACAGATTCTAGTCTGCCTCTGGAGATGGCTTCCTGGGGACTGCTGGGCCTTGCTTTTCCAGACCGTATCCAGTCTCATCACAGGGGTGTGACCAGGCTGGCAGAGACTAAAGAAGGCTGCAGCACACAGTTTTTAAATAAGTTTATAATTTCCTGATGGATTTAGTTCGTGAATAAAAAAGAAAAAAATCAAACAGAGTGTTTACAATAATTACCAAGGCAAAATTGAACAGAACACAATGTCTTTGTAATGTCATCATCAGGCCGGCAATTCGACGCTAGTAACTGCACGCATGTGCACAGTTGAAGGCAGCAGCTGCAGCTGTTTCACACAAGCCACCAGGCTGCCACCACTGCTACCTACAGGGACTCAAGCTACAGGAAGCCAGTGCCCAGTGTTCTGGGCTCCCCACTAAAGTGCAACATGCCTCTTCTGAAGGCTTCAAGGGTGCAGAACAAAGCCAAATTCCCCATCCTGGGACAGCCTGCTACGCAAGACAGGTTTCTGGTCTGCACTGGGCAGCCAGCGCAATGGCTGGCATGTGCCTCAGGCGGGTCCAGATGCGTTCAAGGATGGATTTAATACTGGTGTGGCAGGGAAGAGGGGCCTGGCTGGTGTGCTCACTGTGGCAGAGGGTGGATCTCCTTGCCTCAGCCTGGCTCACTTCCTTTCTTGACTCTGGCATCTCTGGAGCCAAGGGGGTTTGAGTCTAAAAAGCTTCAAAGAGAGGAATTGAGGCTCTGAAGCCAGAGAGAGCCAGGCTCTGAGGGCCATCCATGGCACTGGCCTGCAGGCTCTGGAGACTAGGCTGCCCTGTGGGATGGCCACAATGAAATAGCACCAAGTGGGCAGGAAAAGGCCCTGTGGTCTGGCAAGCAGGCCCAAGCCCAGGTTACCACACAGCACTAGGCACACAAGGCTTGATCCCATGTGAGGGGAGGGTGATCCTCAGGTCACCCTCTACAACGCTGAAAACTCTACCTGAGGATGTACAGAAAACCCTGACGTGACTGAGAGTCTTGGAGCCCCAGATTTTCATTTCTCCACTGAGTGGGTGTCTCTTGTTCCCAGGTAGTCACCTACCTCAAGTGTGGCCAGTGTGTTTCCCAGGGGCTGGCCTGGCTACCACCTCACCAACCTGGAGTGGGAGGAGCTAGGCTGCCCATAGCTTGAATTCCTTCGTTAACATGATTATTTATGGGTTTGCATTTTTAAAAACACAGCTCCTTAATTTTTCAGTTCTATAACTACTTTTTAATATTTTAATATTCTCAACAATGGACACAATGTAACTGCCCCAGTTCTCTGAATCACACAGACAATATCAACAAGCAGAGAAACAAAAGAGGTGGCGGGACGGGACAGATAACCCGCTCCCCCAAATCAACCCCTAAAATCACTTCTCCCTCAAAAGAGGCAGGAGGAGAAGTACCTACAATAGGGTCACAGCACTTGCCAAACACAGTGGGAAGAATCAGGAGACACTTGGTTACAATTTTGACACTAAAAGTTTGGAAAGAGTACAGACAGCCATTTTGTTCAGAAGGATCCCCAGGTCACGTGTGCTTTCTTCTTCCCTGGACATCCTCGTGGCTCACAGGAGGGAACATGCCTTGGACCGGTCCAAAGCTCCGAGACTGGCAGTGACGGCAGGTGCCCGGCAGGCCTGTGGTGCAGCTCATCCTTCTTGCTTTCTTTCCTGGGCTCTGGACTCTGCAGGCAGGAGGGGAGGCTGGGGAGGCAGGCTTGAGAGTCACCGACACTGCTGACATGGGGTCTGCTGGGACTCGGGCCTGTGGGTGTCACATTCCACTAGTGACATATCCTTGCTTTGCCCTTCTTCAAAGACCTGGAGGGAGGCCAGTGGGCCTGTGCTTCAGTCACACAGGAGGGTGTGATGCCAAACCAATCCCAGTGTCAGCAGTGGAGGGGCAGGACGGTAGCACGTGAGAACCATCTGCACTGACGTCATCTCTCCCGAGGGAGAAAGTCAGCCAACATATTCTTCCTAGGAGGCCAAACAGATGGATGGGATGTGGCCAGTCACAGCCTGACCTGCAACACCGTCGGTCATCACAGCCCAGTCTGCTTTCCTAGAACTTCTAAGGCCCACAGGTGAGGAAGAGGCACGCTCAGGCCTCGGGAAGATGCATGAGAAACAAGGCTGACAGGAACTGGAGGATGCCCTCCACATTTCCGGTTGCTGAAGCCCCCTCAGACTTGTCCAATCTCTAATGGTCTTTAAGTCGTTGCTAATCCCATTCAGATGTGCCACCAGTCAGTCACTCACTGAAGACCTGGGATGCGGGGCTCATATGCTGCTGCTTTAGTAGGAGCCCCACACTGGGTTCCAGCCCTCATTTTCTTACTGCATCTTCATGATGGCCTTCATTTGGGGTAGAGCTGTTAGGTGCAAAGGGTATGAGGCTTGACAGTGGATGGAGGTGATGGGGACGGTCCTAGCCAGCCTGCAGTGAGCTCTCAAGGCCAGATGTCTTGAGGACCCTAAGTGCATGCAGACCGTCACGGGATGACATGTCTTAGGGCAATGGCAGCTAGGCATTTAGTGAATTCTGACTAAGTGAATGACGAAAAGTCAGCAAGATCTGAATGCCAGATAAGCTATTAGCCTCGCCTACCACAAAACCTCCACAGTCTCCAGAACCCTTTGAGTCACGGGATTACCACCCGAGGAGACCCCTTTGCTATGCAGAGATCAGAAAATGTCTGTCCTACAAATTTGCCTTCCCGCAGCCTCTCTGGAGGGACCTGGTGGAGAAAAGTTGTAAAACAGAGAGAAGGAAGCAGGTAAAGAGTGGCAGACAAAGACCAAGTGGGTACAGCAGGAGTCTGTCTGGGGGTGGTCCCCCACAGCTGGCCAGTGTCAGCTCCAGGCTGCGCCTGTGGACCGGGACTGTTTTCTGGATTCCACCATAGCTGGTGAAGTTGTTACTAGGTGGTGGTTCCAGTTGTTATGGGTGTAAAATCCTATCCTGAAATATGGTGTCGTCTATGGGATTTACGGATGGGACAATTAAAAAGAACTGAGAGAACTGAGCAGCAGTGATCATCACTCTGGCTCCTGGCAGAGTCCACTCAGACCTCAGCGTCTCACACAAGTGAACACTGTACGGCAGGGAAGAAGGGGAACGGGGAAGTGACTGCAGTGGCAGCTGCGTGAGGTCCCGAGTGGAGGGCTGCAAGGGACTTACAGGCCGCATTAAATCCTTCTGAGAGTGTAGCCGGGTGGAGGGCTGCAAGGGACTTACAGGCAGCATTAAATCCTTCAGAGAGGAGGCAGCTGGTGGGGCATCTTTAGGTGTCTGCTTCAGAGCACGCAGGGCTGGATGCCCGCTACGCTGTCTATTCTCAGGCTGATTATCTTATGGCACTGTCCTCTGCACCTGGCTGCAGCATGGTGCTGCCGCATCCATGGGGTGTGCATGCACTGGTGAAGCAGTCAGCTGACACAAATGGTCAGTACAGCCCCCTACACAGAACACCTCTCAGGGTGACAACACTGACAGCAATGATCCTCAACTGCCACATGGGACCTCACAGGCAAAGAGGGGCTCAGCCAGCCAAGCCCACTGAGGACTCTTCAGTGGGAAACAAAGACTACCAGTCAGGAAGCTGGAGGGAGAAGCTATGCTTTCACTGCTACGGCTCAACTGAGCATGTCTCAGGGGTCCCCACACCACTCCCTATCAGAGGCTTTTCCAAAGGTGGAAAATACAGCCTTGTACGCTGTATGCACACAGAAGACATTTCATAATACTTTCTGAATGAATGAATGGATGAATGAATGGAGGGAGGAAGGGAGGAATGTTAATGAGATAAGACAAACTCAGTTGTGTCAAAAGCAGTTTCTAGGTAGGGCATGAGGCTATGACCCTGAGGATGAACCCGAAGAGCAGACTGAGAAGGTGGGCAGGGATCGCATGCTCTAGCAACCCTGTTCTAAGTAGCCTGGGGCAAGGTGGAGGGACAGACAGCACTGTAGGCAATGTTCAGGAGGATCGGCATGGCCCTATGGGACATCGTCTCTGGAGGAGCAAAGCTGCGAGCAGTGACAACAGGGCCCTTCATGTTAAAGCCTCTTCTCATCAGGTTATACTGACCTGACAGTCAGTGTGGGAAGGTCTTAACAAGAGCGAGTGGGTGACCACTGTGGACATCATCCTCCCGCCAGCTGAGAGCAGCACACGTGAGACAGGCAACAGGCCAGGGTTCACAGTGAGGCCTGCCTCCATCTGATGGTCATGACAGCAAGGCTGGTAAACACGAGGGCAGCACCCTCTCTTTGTCTCTGGCCACTGCTCCCTCCTCCACCCTCTGAGCAGAAAGGACTCATCCTAAGGCTTCAGCAGCGAGCTTTGAAAGCACAGAACTCCAGATGAGGCGAGTGGGCTTCTTGTTTCCTGTTCTGGGAAGGGCAGAGCTGCCAGCCTCTCCAGCTCCCTTCTGCTGATGACAGGGCAGTTCTTCACGGAGACCAAGGAGACTTGCGCAGAGACAACATTCAAAGTAGAAGGCAGAGTGCGATGAGAAACAAACGGGCTGGACGCGCACATCCAGCTGGCAGGGTCTGGTGTGGAGGTGGCTCCAACACCGAGTCCCTCACATTCTCCTTCCTAGCTCCTTGGTCAGCCTCCTTGGAGCGCGTCAGGAGGACTCTTCCAGCGCACTGACGACTTGCTCAAGGATGTCAGGGCAGTGGTCGGCTATCTGCTGGAGGATGGTGTTGGCGAACTCCTGCAGTTCTGCATTGTCCCCTTCAACTTTCTCCAGCTCACTCTGAAGCTGAAAGAGAAAGGAGAGATGGAGTTGAGGCAAAGGGCAGCTTACTTGTGTTGGGAGTGGGGATTCTTCAGGAAAGAACGACAAACAGAGCTGACCTCCCTGCATCCAAATGAATGATCAAACATGCAAGCTTCTAGACTCTAACCATGAAAATAGAGTCCAGAAAAGTCAGGATTAAGTCCTGGCCAAGCACTGTAACTTGTAGTTCTGACTTCATGGGGACGCTGTGTTCACTGTTCCAATTTCACAAGCACCACTGGGTTGAGGATCTCAGCATTGTGTGGTGCTCCTGCCCAAGGGAGATTTCCCTTTGCTGCATATGGCTGTTTCAGCAGGGCCCTTAGACTGCTTAGTTAGCTGAGGAGATTATTTTGACAGATACCATAGCCCAACGCTGAGGAAAGACACATTCCCAATGTTCTTCTGTTCTTAGTACCCACTGGGCAGTTCTCTAAACCTCTAGCAGTCGCAGTCCTTGTCCTGAAACTCCTCGTAGGCCATGGCAGAGCAAACACGTCAACAAGCACACCACAACCCAGCACAGCTAAGGACATGATGTGAGAGGAAATGCACACTTGTTTCACTCTGAAGAGCCTGAGAAGGAGGCACTAAAGGTGGCTAAGATCTGGGTCTCCAGAGCCAAAGCAGAGTTGTCTGGGAGATCAGAGGAAACAAAGCACCGTCCAGGATGCTGGAGCCTACCTACAGTGGGCTGTGGTGGGGGAAGATGGAGTTGAAGAGACAGCTGAGGGTCAGGCTGTGAGAGGAGCTAGAGCTCAACCCAATCTCGTGCAAAGTACAAGGAGACCCTGTGGTTTTAAATGGCAGTGACAAGACTGCCTTCAACTTCTTAGAAGATGACGCAGAATGTTAAAAAAAAAAAGAAGCTGTTGACTAAGCAGAAAGCAGCAGCCAGGAAGTGGCTGTTGTAAGCACAAGGTGGAATTAAATGGGGCTGAGAGGGAGGAGTCGGGGGAGAGGAGGGATGCACACATCTCAGCCTTCTCAGAGTAGGGTTCGTGAGGAGAAGGGAAACTACTCGTGACAGTGCTGGCTGAGGAATGAGACGGGAAGACGGATATTTTCAAATACTAGGCAGGGCTCCAGGAAAGGAAGGGGACTGAAAACTGAGTGCAAGAGAGTTTGGAACCCAGGCGCCTGGGAGGCTTAGGTCTCAGCGTCAGGGCTGCCGTTCATTAGCTGATGTCCCTTGACCTCTCTTCTCTGCTGGAGGGTGGAGCGGCAACATTTCACAGTGCTGTTTTAGAGGATTTAATGACAAGGACATGTGAAAATGCCTGACAAAGGTTAACTTGTAATTACTGTTATTAACTACGTAAGATCACCCAGAAAGAGCAGATTAGATGGCAAAGAGAATGCCACTGTCTGTCAGCCTCCAGATGCTCTGAGCCGAGAATGAGCTAGAGTGTGCTTCTCAAGTACAACAGTCAGGTGAGACTCGCAGTCTTCTCTCTGCTGGCTGCTGACCCTGACCTGGGAGCTCAGGGCCACTTACACCATGCTAAGCCTTAGTGAGTCTTTTAAAAATTTAGGACAGGAGCTAAACTCATCTATTTTCACCTAACAGTGCACTGTGTTTCCAAGTTGAATCCCAAAAACTGTTTCTGGAATTTGATAATTGACCCTAAAATTCATTCTGATGTGTAAATACAAGAAGAGCTAAGGAAAAAATATATTTTGTGTTTGTAGGTTCAGGGGATTGAATACAAGGCCTGGTGCATGCTAGGCAAACACTCTGAGCCCCATCACAGTACCCACAGAGATATTTTTAAGACAGGAAAGCCCTGTAGACACACACTAACGGAAGATTGCTACATTGATAACATGGTGTCTATGGGCTTTGGAATAGATTTTTCTTTTTGCTGGGACAAAATATCTTCTATAAACAACTTAAAGGAGGAATTCTCTACCTTAAGTCATGGTTTTAGAGCAGGATTTCTCAACCTGGGGGTCATGACCCTGACCCCTTTGACAACCCTCTAGCCCCAAGAATACTTTTATTACAATTCATAACAGTAGCAAAATCACAGAATTGAGGTAGCAATGGAAAGAATTTTATGGCTAGGGTCATCACAACCTGAGCAACTGTATTAAAGGGTTGCAGATTAGGCAGGTTGAGTCAGCGAGATCCTTCTGTAATATGAGCTTCAAGTTCCATATTGCAGCACCCTACTTTCCTCATATGTAAATATCCATTCGAAAAATGTTCTTCCAGTCGTTTGGATACTGCAAGGTTTGATGGAAGAACTAGTTTGGTGGGGCATTCCCGGGGTTCCAGCTACCTGGGATGCCAAGGCTAGAGGATCAATGGAGGTTACGAGTGTTGTATGTGTATAGTGTGTTCACGTGAGTGAGACCCTGGCATTCTCTCTCTCTCTCTCTCTGACATATGCATCTGAGTGAGACTGTGGCTTTTAAAAAAAGATTTTGTGGAAGAGCTGCTTTCTACTAAACCTTCATCTCAGTTAGATCCCAAAGGAGGGACAAATGGAAATGGATATAGAGACATTATCTCCAGTAGAGAAAACAGAAAGTGTATACTCTGCTAAAACAAGTCCAGATTTCCAAATGCAGACTGGATTACATGAACACTCCACATGTGGGATTTGGTGCCGAGAGGTGTGTTCCTGCTTACCAGTCTGGGAAACTGTCACTGTTACTAAGGTGACACCATATACAAAATATCCTGCCTCAAAACGACCCCACAGTACCCTTTAACCTTCTTCCTGTAGCCTCTGGGCAACCCCGCCAAGTCCCTTTCCTTTCAGTCAATGGTGTTTCCAAGCTCTTTTCTCTGAGTCTGGGGATACAGGAACCTTTCCCATCCTGAAAAGATCCTGGAACTATCTTTCTTAAGCTGGCTGTAGCTTTCCCATCAAACTTCAAAAGCTCCAATACAAGTACTCTCTAGTATTCTGTCTCTCAGACCAGCTGTAATAAGCAGGATGACTTGACCGCTTCCTCACCTAACTTGCTTTCTTGAAAGGTTAGTGAAATGTCTACCTAAAAACTATAGAACTACAAAAGTAAAAAATGCCTTAAATGGAAGGATATAACATGACCAAGGAATGGAGACTCAAAGACGGTATTAATTCTGCTTAAACTAACTCATAGATTCAATGCAACCCCTAACCTTAGGCAGCTATGAATATAAGAAAATGTATGTAGTAAGAAAAAAAAAACCTATACAAACATGATAACTTCCTTAGTTTATGGCGAAGGTACCATCTGTACGGTAGGGAAAGGTTGGATTTTATGATCTATTACCATATCCCAATCATACAAAGAATCAGTTCTTGATGGAGAATAAATCTGTGTCTGAATGGAAGACATGGAAAAAGAAAACAGGAGAGCTGGCCACAATGCCACCTGCCTATAAACTTAGACTCAGGTGAAGGCAGGAGGATTGTGTGTGTAAAGACATCTTGGGCTACATAGTGAAAACCTGCCTCAGAAAAACCAAGCAAACAACCAGCCAAGCTCACAAACACAGCAAGTCTCCTGCCCCATCCATGAAAGTTGAAAGGGACACTGTACAAACGCCATGCTGGTCTTCTCTGTTCCCTTCCAACTTCAGCAAACACACTACCAAGACTATAGTGCAAAGATTTCTTAGGCAGAACACAAAAGAACACCCACCATAAAAAAAAGACCCAAAAAATCAGTTAATTTATATTAAAACAGGCCTGTAATTCTAGCACTCAGAAGACAAGAATATCAAGAGCTCAAAGTCATCCTCAGATAATATTATGGTGAAAAGCGGCCTGGGCTATGTGAGGCCTTATGTCCCAAAACAAAAACAAAAGCAAAAACAAACACCCCAAAAATTCAAATAACAAAAAACAAACTAAAAGCAAATGAACAAGCAAACAAGAAAACTCAAATAAAGCAAAAACAAAGAAACCCCCACAAAACAAAACTAAGAACTTCTTTCTCTTAAAAGACATCATTAGGAGAGGAAAAGCAGCTGGCAGATGGGAGAAGGTATCTGGTACACAAAGAACTACAAACCAGCAACAAACAGCAAAACAACAAATTCAAAAGGTCAAGGAATTAGAATAGTATTTTACAAAAGATTCCAATTGTTACTCAGTGTCTGTGTCTACAGGAAGTTCCTGCAGATTCCAGGATACCTCATGGACAACAAAATCTTCATTTCTATAAAAATAATGAAATAAAATGGTATACTTGCATATAACCTACATATCTTATCTATAGATTACTCATGATACTGAATGTCATGTAACCGCTATGTAACCAGTTGTTATACCGCATTGTTTAGAGAGTGATGAGGGAAAACATGTCCAGGCACAGCTGATACTGGAGGTGAACAGAGCTCAAAGGACAAGTGATGGAGAGACACACAGAACAGAAAACGGTGGGCGGGTATGGAAGGGACAGCTTTACTCTGGGGACTCACAGAGTGCTCAGTGCACGAAAATTCAAGTTCTGATTTCTAAAACTATTTCTCCCAAATATTTTAAAACTGTGATTGTTTGTTGAATTTGAGGGATGTATAACCCAAGGATGTGTAGAATCAACTATATTTTGGAAAGGCTAGAAAATACATACAAACATATTTATTCTTGTTAATTATCATAGAAACAGGAGTTAAAAAACCCATTGTGATGGATAAAAATGTAAAGGTTAGATATCATCAAATGCTGACAAGGGTGTGGAACCACTTGACTTCTTGTACAATTCTGCACAGTATGAGTGCAAAGAGGTACAGCTATGCTGGAAACCATGTGGTAGCATTTGCTGAACTGGAGTACATGTATATTATGACTAAACCTTCATGCACACATATGTTCACCAGAAGACAGAGACAAGAGTACACACATAATCTCTACTGGCCATGCTGTACAAGCTTTTAGTAACTGATTGATAATTTATGACACAGGCTGGGAGATGTCTCAGTCTGTAAAGTGCTTAGCAAACATGAGAACCTGATTCCTAGGACCCATATGAAAAGCCAG